CTGAGATAATTAAGATATAATAAATCAAGGAAAATGACAACATGGATTTTCTTATCCTGGCTGCATGGCACTACTGAGCTTAACATTTGTTGGACGAATGTAGATGTAGTAAGAAACATAAGTCAACTGACCAGATAAGGTGCCTCCTTTTGGCCAGCGGTTCAGAGCCTTCTCTATTATTCGTTCTATCAATCAAGCTCAAGTAGTTTTTACCTTACTTCCCAGCTCTAACGTATTCCCCAATCGAATATTCCTCAAGCTAATTAAGGCCAATGACAATCGCCAGTTGACTTGTGGATAGATCAACCAACGAACCTTCTCATCAGATACACCTTAATACGAAGTAGAAGATTCTGCAACCCTGTTATCTTATGAGATTCATCGAAACCCAATTATCCTTTGCATAATCAGCAATTTTGCAAAGCGTCCGTTTTCATTTTGGGGGGCAAATCAGCTAATTTTACTTACAGCAATTGGTCAACTCGAAATTTATGGAGCATTTGAGGCTTGGCGATGTTGAAGGGTTATCGTTTGGTCAGGTCTGTCTTGTTGCCTCCCTCTCGTGCAAAGTCTGCGGCCGGATTCGCACCTGAAACCTGTAGTTCCAGAGACGGAGATGTCTCCAATCGGGGTTTCTTTCAACATGTGCACATTTTGGCGAAAGAAAATGGCGAATTTCACCGACAAGCCCAAATCCTTCCTTCATTTTGACCTGCGCAGGCCAACATAAAACGTGATTGAGTAATCTCGTAATCTCGTAATCCAGTAATACCCTCTTCCGGCTAGATCCACCTACGCGTCTCATCATCCCACTCACTTGCATACAAAATGACAGTCTCCACATCACACTCTCCTTTGAGGCTGACAACAACTCGTTCACAAAACTGTCCTACCTGGCGACTTTTCATCGACAGGCTGTCAGTGTCCTCCACCGCATCAGACCTGCCCGACTCAACGGCCCTTCGGTCAGGCCGACCAGCCTCCTTCATGTGACCGACAATCCAGTGCTTTTCGGCCATTGTCTCACTCCACGTCGGCCTCATCCGCTCTGCTCCATTCAACTTGGCCGGTTGTGAAGACGCTTTTTCCACAGAAGGTACTGCCAGTCTTTGTCCGCGCGAATGCTCCGCGGGCTGTCGGTGTCGCCAGTCCTTGGAGTCCATACCATGCGAGCGGTGAATCTGCTGCAAATCGGCTCCTTCCGCCGCACCTCGCGCCG